GCTTCGAAGCTGCTGTTGGTGCATGATGCTGAGCCCTCTCGCCCACGTCGTCCGGCGGGCGACATGAGATAATTCTCTTTGGCCAGCCGTCGTTTGATTTTGATTTTTAGCCACTGAGAACTTCAGATGGAAGGGTTACGAAAGCACCGCCGCAGCCAAAGAGTAATAGCCTTTCCGTCCTCCAAATTGGATCATCCTAGTCCATGACATGGGGAAATTTTTGGACGGCCAAGTTTTGCGGTCTCGGCTCTTCGGCGTGGCAGATATGATGGAAATGCTTCGCCAATGGCATTTCAAGTAACTTCGCTCCTTCGGCGCCAAATATCGTGTCCGTGGGGATGACTCGCGGGGGTCTCCGGCCGTGACGCCGTTTCTCGCAGCCAAATGTCGACTGGCCGGTCTACTTAGACGGTCCTCGCAGCTTGATACAAAATAACGGTACGAAGACAACAGCTTTCAGTGCCGAAAGCAGCTACTGGCTGGTCAGATGTCGTTCGTAGTCAGGTGAGGGGTGCGTTGTCCAAGGGGGTATTGTCGCTGAGCGAGACAGTCGCAATCCCGCCTTTTTGGATTCGTTTCCCAGCTCTCAAGCTTTATTTTTGATGGTATTTTGGCAGAAGAAGGGCGGAGCCCAATTGGGATCTTAGCGGTACCTCTCATACGCTCCGGGCGTTTGCGTAACCGTCAGCTCCCGTCTGCAAGTCGTCTTCTGTCTCCATTTTCGGCAATTTGAAGTTGAGATGCCCAGCGTGTCAAATACTTGATTGGAGTGTCCGCTAGACCCTATCAAAAGAGGAGGATGCGAGATTGGATGGGGGAAAGCTTTGCTGATTAGAAGAAGACGGTTTGCGGTTACACTTTCCCCGCGCCTCTTGCTCCCGGTCTTTCGCGCACCCCGAGCGTAGGCATGTTAAGCCGAGTAGCCATCGAGTGGGTTGACATCGATATTCTTGGGGAAACCACATGGACCAGCTATGACGACATTAAACATTGCATCTGTGGGCTTCGCGACATCAGATCTTTCTGACGCCCTGAATCACGATGTCTACTGTTGACACGAGGCAGCAGAGCTTCGGTTCTTGAGAACCGGTTCGTATGCAGTGCCTTACGAACTGCACTCGCGATAAATGCAGGGCACCGGCACGCTCTGCACCACTGCGGGCGTTACAGGGGAACGTTGCCTTGCCAGGCTGACCTGGGCTAGACCAGACCTAAGGCACTCCACATTGCCAACAATAGAAGCCTCCACCAGTGCTCGAAGGAAGGCAAAATCGGTTCCTTACGTCAAGACTCTTGTTGTTGAAGCTTCGCCGCCACTGTCAACTGTCGTCGGAGGTTTTCCGACTATACATCAGTCCGGCTATAGGCCGGAGCTATGGTGAGAAGCTGGGATGTTGCGGGCTCGAGTGGGATCCCGCAAGCGACCCCCAGCTCAATTTCAAGAGGTCTAGGACCGGCAAAACATGGTGATTCGCCAAACGGTAAAGTCTAATGTCTTTCGTCCAGGAAGTCTTTTGCTGCTTGCGACGCTTAATGGGCCTGTGCTCGTCGGAAGCACTTTTCAGCTCGCCAGGTCCCAGGGGAGTTTGTCGAGGTAGACGAGAGGGGAAACATGGGATTGTCATATGCCTCGAATTCGGCCAAGCCCCTCTGGAGCAATACCCCTCAGATCTGAGGATGGACGCACAGGAGACACGGGCCCGGTGCACTGAAGAAATGTGCATACGGTACCAATTCGATGCGATAATCAGGCAACTAAGTGACCGTATTGCCAACAGCAATGGTATCTGTTGCCAAAGGTGTGTACCAGGTGAAAGGTGAAGACCTGGATCTTGCGGGCAGTACGGTGACATGCGCAACGGCAAGTTTTCCCAGGTCCAGTGCCGTGGAATTCCGCCGCACTAGTGCCCCTAGAAGTCGGGTTGCAACGTGCGGTGGTGGCTGCAGGTTGAGCTTCCCACCAATCGGAAACTCTAGGTGCTCATTCGCGGCGTTGTCTCTGTGCCGACTTGCTGTGATGTGGGACAATTTGACCCCCAAGCGATAAAGTCGAGTCTGAGTCTATGTTCGTTAAGCAGCGCACTAACGTCCTCGATCACTGAATGATCCGCGGTCGCTCCGTGCGTAGGTAGCTGGTCCTGAATTGCTATGTTTTAGCTCGTCGGACAGTTGGACGCCGATGATCGTTTCCGCTCCGTCTCGGATCCGGATCATGGCCGGAACCCGCGCTCCGATGGTGGAACTCCACACCGAAGCCACCCCGAAGTATTATTTTCTGCCGCTTTCTAGATTTTCATGAATAACGTGTCAGACTTCTCAACATCTTTATCAGGCTCCGGATCTTTGAAAGGCGTCCAGGTTCTGTTTGCCGTTCACTCATCCGGCCTCTTCTTCTGCCTGCTTTGGGACATACAGCCCGTGTCAACGGAGTTGTCCGGAGCAGCGTTCCTCGACATTCTGATCCCAGCGTACAAAAAAATATACCTTACTTCGAGCACGACGTACGAACGTTCCAATGGTATCGCCGAGTCTGTTTTGTCATGCTGCATATACTAGTGCTGCTAGCGTCTCCATATCCCCTTCAGCCGAAAATCTGGGCGTTGGCCCCCGCTGTACGAAGACAGCTGGGCTGATCTGGCCCCCAGTGTGCAACACCGCCGTCGATAAATCGTCAGGTAGACCGTACCCGTGCCCGGCGCTGATCTCATCATTCAACAAGCGCGGATCCTTCATTCTGGTACCGGGTGGTGGGCCCAGGTCCGGATACCTGGTATACAACCAGAGCGGGAATGCTTAGGCTGGAAGCCAAACTGTTGATTTTATTTTAATGTTTTCTACCACTGCACTTGAGTGGGCAGTAGACTAGGCAGCGACGCAATCATGGAATCTGCTTCTCGGAGCCGGTCATGGCATCGCGAGCCTTGCCAACTATCGAAACGAACCCTATTTATGCCAGGTTGTAGTCGGCCTGCAAGAACTGTCTTTCGGCAGACTCAATGATTGGAGCGTATATTGGACAGCAAGCAGCCGCATATCTGTTGAAGTCCTATTCGCAAAGGGGACATTGTGCTCGGGCGAGCTTAGACACCGCCAGTCGAGTGGAACTCCGTTGGCAATGCCGGAGTCGAGCCTGCCGTCAAGCCCAGGCCGTTAGTTGCTCTGCATTGAATCGACGAATTGCGCGGGGACAAGGTGAACACCACCATAGAGTCCAAGGTTGTTCATCTTTCGATGGGTTTGTTGACAGTTGGATTTAAGCTTCTGCTCAGTCGTTAGCCTTAGTGAAGTGCCATGCATGTTGCGTGGATATCCATAACTGACTGGACAAGAGACACTACGTCTCGTTTTCTCAACTTTCGTATTTGACAGACGCAGTAGGAAAGCTCCCGTCATCCCGTCGACTGCAGCTGTGCCAAGTTGTAAAGGCCGTGAAATGCCCGACGTGTTTGCAACGTCTGGAGGCTGAGCAGTGGCGACGAAACAGCGTGAGACTCTTCCCCATCCCAATCAACCAAATCCCCGCTTCTGGTTGTCATGTTAAATCTGACCGGCCCTCATATCCGAAAATCTGATTAGAATCGCACTGTATGGTCGGCAACATCGAGCCCGTTTGCAAGAGATGCTGCCCAGGCCCTGTGGTTTCGAAAGCACCCCCAGCAAAGGGACTTTTCCACGGAAAACTTGAGAGGGGCTTTGGTTGCATCAACTCCCAAACCTTTCCGCTTCAAGGTAGAACGATTTGGAATTGATCTTGATGCTCTTTCCGAGGATGGAAAATACTGCTGCCTGGAACAGTGCCTGCAAAGAGCCAAGTCGAGTTGTGGGACTATCAAGACAACCTTAGTCTATGCAAGTTGTGTAATCTCCGGATGGCGTGTCAGACATGACGGTGGTCGAAAGCACTACCGTCCCGATCCAGCAGCCGCGTGCGATTCCGACTTTGAAAAGCCCCAGCTTGTCAAGATCCATTCGACTCCAGGCAGACACAATTGGCACCCATCAGCCGACATGCCTAGCAATACTAGCGGTGGCTGGTTGTCTTGCATTCTGGACGGGCCAGACTTGTCCCCGCAACAGCTCAACTATTTTCTAAAAAGGGAAATTTTTACTGAGCGCCGTTGCTGGGGTGCTGGGATGATAATGCAGGGAAATGGACCCATGCCGTCTCTGCGTCCGCTAGGATGCCGAGCCGCTGGGGCCCATCATGTATGTAATTGGCGAGAATCGACTTGGGGTCCGCGTGGGGGGATGACGGCACGTAGCGATGAATATCCGATGAATCGTGACGACAGCGCCTTTGGTTTTGACAGAGTCATGCATAGTTCCTTTGCTCTTCACACACGGCACAACTCCTTGGGTCCAATGTCGTCGAGAAGGTGGAGCAGGGGAACCGGGCATGGGTTCCGCCCACTTAGAGCAGCCTCCTGCGCGCTCTATGTCGAGATAGGCACCTGGTTGTCAGGAACTGCAGTTGTAAGAACTCGTGCTCTGCAAGATTAATGCAAAGGTGGTAACTCTGCGTTGAGGCGAACGAATCTACGTCCAGTTGACTCCACTACTGGCCCCCAGGCTCGGCGTGCTCTCCACGGTATGACCTGGTGAGCGGTGGCTCTAACAAATTGTTTTCCAGCTTGCATACAGCTTTTCCAGAGATTAAATCGCGGAGAGTCTCAGCTGAGTAGCGCTCATGTCGTCACAGATCCTCGTCAACCATGTGCTTTCTCCCAACTGTGGGAAGGTAGGAACTGCCCCCCAACTATTTTCGATCCACAATTGCATGTGCCTTGTATTGAGTATGAATCCGTAGAGTTGAGTGATGGCGTAAAAGCTGATCCCTTACAGGGGTTCTAGATGTAGCCTTATGCAGGGTCCTTGCGGGCGTGAGCGGGGAGATTCTGCGCCGTTGCGCGGTCTTGTGAGCCCATCCGATTCAGAGTTTGGGGTCTCCAGAATCCGCGAACAGAATCGTCGGATTGGAAGACTACCCTCCCGACACCACATCAGAGCTTCTGTAGTCCAGCCTCAGCTTGGGCTACACCAGGTTCGAAGCCAATCTTCTTGCTCATCTCTATAGCCTGTTGGAAACGTTTGCGAGCGTCAATCTTGTTGCCCAGCATTGCAGCAATGTCACCCATGTTCGTCAGGGCAACTGCGCATGCTTCATCGCACTCCTCCGTGCGATCGTCGCCTTTCACGTCCTTCGCGTGTGAGTAAGCATTGCGGGCCCAATTCTTTGCCGCCTCCAAAAGTCCTGCCCGATCTGTTGGCATATCAGGGCTGACAAGCACATCCGAAGTTGAAGGAGCTCCAGAAATAGTCTGGAGAGATGCCTGCGTGGGATGTTGAGCAAAAGCCACCGCCAGGTTGTTCACTGTCGTGGAAAGTCAGCAACACGATTGCATTCTGGAGCTCCATATCCGAAGGACGACGTACTTATCGTAACTCGATGACAAGGGTCGGCACAGAGGCGCAAGGCGTGGAAGAAAAGAGGCACAGCGAGTTGAAATTGGGCTTTGGTCTCGTAGTGGTTGGCCAAGGCTTAGGAATGCAGTTAGCACAGTGTAGTCTGCGAGCAATGATTCCAGATGAGTTTGAGGGCGATGAGACTCACATTCCATGGCACCACCGATTTCCTCCGGGCTCATCCATGCCCCCTCCTCCTTCTTGACGCCCTCCTTATGGCGTCGTCGGGCTTCTGACAGTGCAGTCTCTACAGCCCACGTCAAACGAGCCTGCGCATTATCGGGCTCCAAGACGTGCTCGTCGGAATACAGAGCTCCGAGCTTGGTGCTGGTGCCCACAGCTTTCGCGAGGAGTCTTGTGCGCTTGTGCCACAAGTTCTCGGGGACCATCTCTTCCTCGTCCTCGACAACGGTTGGGCGTTGATCTTCGGACAACACCTTGACCGCAGCCGGCTTTCCGGACTTATCCACCGTGCCGTCTGCGACGGATTTCTCGAACCACTCAACCCACTTGGTACAATCATCCATGACAGAGTTGAGAACAAGAATAGCTCCTTGGTAGTTGCCAATCTTCTCCAGCCATGCAGCGGTCTGGATCCTGATACCCAGGACATCATCAGAGAACGGGTCCAACTGAAGCTCATTGCATAGCTCGAGGGCTTGCTTATAGTATTTCTTCGCCAGGTTTGCATCGGGGCTGATGTTCGTGTAGTAGAGTGCTCGTCTGAGGGCCTTTGCGATTGGTGGTGGGTATTTGGTGAACTGGCGGGCTTGGAAATAGTCAAAGTATAACTTGACAATGTAAACGGCAACACCGGCCAAACCTGCCAGGCTAGAAAGTTGTCAGCCATGATCCCAAGTCACTGCTCTCGAAAAATACGAGAGAGCTTACATTGCCAGTGCTAGTGTCAACTCTTCTGGGCTTTCCTTGAATAATTTCTTCATTCCCCGCGGTGTCAAGGCGCTCATGAGATTGCGAAATGACATTAATCGCCATAAGGATCGTATTGGAGGGGGCGGAGGCGGGGATTTGGGATCCGTGTTCTTCTTGCTCGCATTGCTTGGTGGAAGATTTGCCGTGCTGTTTTGTCTCGATTGAATGTTCCTTAGAGCATGGAGTGTGCTCGAGGGACCTCTGGCACGAGTTGTGGCTGTTGATACCGTAGACAATCGAATGGCTTGACCATGGCAGACGCGATCAATGGCGCGGGACGCCGTGATGCGGGCAGCCGCCATTGTCGCGGATGTCGAAAATATGCTTTTTCACCGATTGTTGTTGATTCAATCCAGAGCATGCGCGTCAAATGCGGGATTGGGTTGACGGAGTTGACGTTGCAGATTGTGCCGAACGTGACGTATTGGATCAAAAATTCACGAGGCAAATGGTTGTCGCATTGGACGGACCCAGAGCTCAGTGCTCCTGCTCGTGTGGATCTGCTAGAGAAACTCGCAGCCAATGGGAGATGACCATTTACTCCGAGGCAACCCCCCACCCGGATCGTGGGGAAGCTCCTTCAGCATTAGAGGGGCAAATGTCGAGCTTGATCCCCCGCCCATCTTCCTCACCTGTCAAACCAGCTTGTTCTTGCCATCTTATGATCAATCCGACACATCTACCTATCATCAGTGCGAAAACGTTCAGTTACTCTCATCCAAAAATCAACCAAGAAAATGTCTGGAAAGTTTGAGCCCAAGACCCCGGTCGAATTGGCCCCTCCCAAGGACGATCCCATCACTCTCGAGGAGCTGGCGAAGGCTGATGGTAAGTGGCAGAATGGGCCAGACTTATGGTTTTCGTTTTCAAGGAACATCTCGCATTTCCATGTTTCGAGAGAGAACATCGCATTTTGAGTGATCATTGACCGCACCCGTTGAGGGGCAGTCCGCAACCCAATGCCAGCATACCGCTTCTTCCCACCACAGCCCAGATGTTTGCCTACAGCAAACATGTGCCTTCGTTTGGTATTTTAATATTTCCACAGCCTCACAAACGCCGTACCAACGAATTTCGCATATGGAACCCATGTTTTCTGCGTCAAGTATGGGAGTGTACTGATCTCATGTTTGCTAGGTTCCGACCCCAACGGAAAGACGTACGTCGCGATCAAGGTAAACCGACAACTATTTCTCCAGCAATAACTTACATTTCTCACATGGCTTCCAGGGTGTTGTCTACGACGTCACTGGTAACAAGGCATACCAAGCCGGCGGATCCTACAATGGTAATGATTCTCATACTCGGTATTTGGATGCATGCTGACTCTCATTTAAAGTGTTCGCTGGAAAGGACGCCTCTCGTGCTCTGGGAAAAACCTCAACAAAGGCCGAGGATGTTAGCGCCGACTGGTCAGACCTTTCAGACAAGGAGAAGGGCGTTCTGAACGACTGGATCACCTTCTTCTCCAAGCGTTACAATGTCGTCGGTCGTGTTGCTGGAGCTACCAACACGGAATGAATCGTGGAGAGGGGAGAGAGTAGAATTGAGTCAAAGCTATGAGGAGTTCTTGGTGGGGAAGGCAGAGATATCCTTCATCATGGTATGGGCATTATCGGGAGCAAGTGTAGACCTAGTCAGTTCTCAGCCCAAGCATGCTCCAATGACACCGGTTTAAACTTGGTATGATTTCAATGCTCTTTTCCCACTCCTTCATCCTCTTCAACTTGTTTCTTCCCCATCCCCACGTTGAAGGGCGCACCGATTCCAATCTCTCACCTAACAGCGCTGCAGTTGAACGTCACCCCCCTCTCACGGGTGGTGGTACATCTGCAGACCTCCCAATGTCAAAGCTTATTCGACGGTACACCCCCTGTGCGCAGGTCATACCTCAACACGTCGGGTCGTGCACAGCAGCTGTCGTTCAGATGCGATGCCACCGTTGCTGTCTAACCCCCCACTCATACACGCGTCCAGACCTGAGGGGGACAAGCAGGGGCTCGACTGTTTTAATCTACTCCTCCGTTGCGCTCAACTTTGGCTCCTCATCAAGCGGTTGGGTCTAGTCCGTTGCCACGCAGGTAAATACGAGGACAGAAACCTTTCTCAGCGAGTCAAGAAACGGAATAGTCTCATGTCTGGAATAAAGTGAAAAGTGACGTGTCTCGGACTCGAGGCTCATGCATCGGATTTCCTAGAAACATCATCTTGCATCTCAGCTCTCAAATCCCCCCTTTTCTCTTTGTCTTCTCCTCACCTGCAGCTTGCTCTAGCCTCCCCAGAAAAACCGTTCCAGTGGAGCCAACCCAATCACTCGTTGTACAACAGTGTGTACTTGCAGCTGCATGGGCCCGGGTCGCCCGCCAGCTTCAGGACAACAGCTTGTCTCCCTCTTCTGCATGAACGCCTCAGATTCGAAGGATCGAGAGGAGAAAGCCTGCCTGTCTGCCCGTTCTTATGCAACCTTGCGTCTCAGTGGAGACAGCTGAGAGTACTTCTTCTTGAAGCCCAGGGACTTCTTGAGTTTCGGGTCTACTTTGAAAATAAGACGCCCATGTACAACTTCGAAGTGAGAACTATGGGTAGAACGGCTTGGCGGTCATGATGTGAGGTTCTTCGTATTCGTCATGGAACCAGACATGTGCGCCGACTCATTGGCCGGTGTAAGCCTCCCATCGATGATCTGAATCAATCTCTGATCGAGGAAGCTGTGCTTAAGCCTTCTAGGAAGGGTAAGTAGCACGAAGTGACCGGACTGAAGAAAACACGATGAGAGCCTCATGAAAGAGCCTTAGTGTGGGACAAGGAGCGGGCCAGGGATAAATGCCAGGGTTTAGGCATTAGTCTTAGAGCCAGTATCATTCGTAACAATTGTGCGTCTCATCATATCTCGAACTTGAAGGTTGAACAACACCAAAATATTCAAACTGTTACGTCGCATGATTGGATGACTCTTGCGGCCAGTTCTGGCCCTCTTCACTCCGTGTCAGATTCACTGCGCATTGCATACGTGCAAATTAGATGATTCCCACCAGAAATCGAGATATATGTATCACTACATTCTTGGCTATCTAGCCCGCGACCTATTTTCACACACCCCCTCGAAGAAATAAAGAGGTGCCACTCGAGCCCGACCCTTGAGAAGAAGTATTTGAGACCCGATGCCTATATATGCAAGTGCAAACACGACATGAATCAAACCAAGCCATCCCGTCTCGATGCAAATGAATCCCGAAAGTCCCGAGCGAACATTTTTGAACGTCATCAACCTCCTCCAACGTTTGGTGCGCGTCTTGTATGTGAACATGTGAAGGGCTCACTTAGCCCGCTGGTCGCTGTGTCATCCTTCATTACCCAACCATTTAGTAGGACAAGTTTCCTATCTACAATCAATCAATCCTACTCAAATAATGGTTTCCCTTGATCTTCTCCCTGTTCCGAGGTGGCGGTGGCTGCTGATCCCTTCAATGACGATGGCGCTTGCCGCCCACGCATTCTTCCCGGCCGAAACCGGCGGCGAAATGCTGGTGCCCTTGCTGGGACTGCCATGCCGAGACGCAGTCATCGCAAGGGGTACTTTGCTGCCAGGAATTGCGGAGGACCTTGACGCTAAAGCATTGGTGGTTGGGATCATTGCGGGCGAAGTGGCAATAGGACTTGAGACGGACGATGGAGTGGTTGCAGGTGAAGAGGAACTCCTCAAAGTCGCACATCTTGAACAAGGCTCGGGAGAGGTGACGTTAAGGTTAAATCGGTACTTGGGCTTTTATGATATGTTAGCTGTGATCTTGAGCCCTCTATGGACGACTCACAGTCAGGGTTGATTTGGAAGTTTGCGCACTTGAGGTTTTGAAGACTCTCAAAAGCTGTATCTCGCAATACGTGAATTTGGACGGAAATCAAGTCGACAAATATCAAGGTAGAGAATGATCGAGTAGTTGAGATATGCCTCTGTACTGTCCATTCCTGACATCAGAGATACCTGGTCTTATATACTTGATATCTTTCACCAGTCGTCGGACGTCGTCGTCAACCTCGATCACCACGGGCGTTGAAATCCGTTTACGTCCAGCTGCAGGTCAAGAAGCTCCAATAGACGCACACAGTATCCTTTGTGGCCTGGCATGCAATACCTGTCCGGTCGTCAGTCTCGCATGCAGGCTGGGTCAACGTCGGGGACAATGTCACTAATTAATCACCAATTTCACGTCCAAGACCCAACAGCTACCCTACGTAGATTAGTTTTCGGATAGCTGAACATGCAGCTGGGTAAAGGAGGTTGCGCCATTGCCTTTTGACCGGAGGTGTGAGAGGTGGACGCAAGAGCTACCGCACCATGTCGAACCGGATACCTTGGAACTCAGTCGCGGGGTCTCGAGCTGGTTTATCGGGTCTGCTCTAATTAGCGTTATACTTGAACCACAAAATTGTGTAAATTTGCACTGAGACTTGAGATACTGTTTAGTCGATACCTACACAGTGGTCAATTCTCGAAGGTCGTGACCGGGGAACATTTTCTCCAGAGAACCAACCCCACGGACCCCCGCCGCGAAGGCAGGTCAAGCCCACAAGTTTTCCCGCGCATATGCTTGCTCGGATATTGGTTGCTGCAATTTTTCAGACTTTCCAAAAAGCTTTTCTTTCTGGAGTCTTTGCTTTTTGATTGCCCATGTCGTTCCTTAAGAGGAAAATGCTTTTGGTGCTTGCGGCCGAGGCTGATGTTCGAGGGTGGATAGTCCGGGCCAGGTCTTGGAACCCTCCGTAGGCTCACCGGTTGTAGATTTCTCTTCGTATTGGCTGCGTGTCACGAGGAGACGTCAAGAACCTGTCGGATTGTGGAGCGTGTAACATACGTGATCCAATCATTAACGGCCACCATTTTCAATCAAGCCACTTGCATCCTTGCGGCGCGGCCCGATAGGTGGTTATCGAGAAAGCCGCAATGCTGGCCCTTGGCAGGAAGCAAACGCCCACTAAACTCGGACAGAGGAGTCCCCGGCTTTCCATTGCCAACGGCGCGGGCGGATGAGGTGTTGCGGATGCTATCCTATTGGGGAGGATGAGGGCCGATTGCCCCAATTGCTCTGGACTAGAGCGCCTACTTATCGTAGGGCAAGCATCAAGGCAGGGAGGTCGCACTCGTCACCCAGTGAAACAGGGGACAAGTGATGCCCCCTCTCGTCTGGACGACCCGAAGACGTTCAAACACTGCAGGTATCCTCCGGAGACCGGCGTACATTAGTGAAGCAAATTTGACTGTGAGGCAAGTCATCGGAAGTGAGGTCTGGACCCGTTGGGGTTTTCCCGTTAGGTTGGGGGCAATACTGTCGGGAAACGACGTCTCAAAAAGCTGTAAAAAAGTGACATATCATAATGTGAGTTGCAGTTCAGGCCCTGACTTGCCCTGAGGTGCGTTGAATCTCGGGTGGGTCTCCTCACCTGAGAGATGAGGGATGAGGATACTGTACAGAGTCCATGCTACGTAAACGGGTGATGAAGAAGGAGCAGAAGCAAATCGAACGATGCGCTGTTCACCTCGCTCAAAAGAAGAAATTTGAAAGGAGTCATTTTTGCGAGTCTTGTCTTGTCCACCTAGATCTGTGTCGCTGTCGAGTCCATATGCAGGCAAGCGGGACTTGGGAGCTGGGGAGTGCGCATTTGCGCGCAGTGATGGAGCGACATAGCCTCAACCTCGTGTTATTGCGCCGCCATGCAGACGAACGGGAAACCAAGTCGCGGAAAGAGCATATTCTCCTCAGTCGCGACTAATCAGAACGGTAAGACGGTCTGGCGATGTCCAGAGTTCGAATGGCTGACTCAAGTTTGTTCTTCAACCAGTCTGCAAAACACAGCGAGCATTGAAGGCAACCACTGCACTCAGCACCACTTCAGCTGACACAGTGGACGGCTTATTACAAGTTCTAGACCACCGCACTCATGGCTCCATTTCTGCGAATGGTATCCAAAGTCGAGTACCACCTCTCAAGTCTCGGCTTTTTGGCTGCTCTCACGGCCGACCCTAAGTTTTCCACAAGCCTCAGTGGGCCGAGGCGAGGGTCAGGAGATGGCAGGCAATACACTGTCGTTGTGGTTGAGAATGTCGCAGTGTCGAGTGATCGCGACTCTCGCCAACTTTTCTGTTATCGTTTCTCATTCGGCATTGACACAGATGCATCGGAGTGGGCTGTGGTGTTCACAAGAACCACTGGACAGTCCTTTGATGTTGATGGTGTTGAGACACTGGTGACGAGCCGACTACAAGTAGAAAAATAGGAAATGGCGAACCACATGCTGGTGTATTTGGTAAGAAAGGCAGGAACGACAACTCCCGTCTGAGCTAACTGTATTGGGAATAAATAGAGTCAAAAGTATCCATCTTACACTCGGTCTGGCCTCCAACCCGCTGACTCAGCTACCAAAAGTAGATTAGCTTCATTCTATGTTGCCATTTTCCTCAACCGTCACCGAGAATATTTCTGACCTTCCGCCAAGAAGCAGGCAACCAACAAGGCAACCAGGCCTGTCTGCCTAACGTCGATTTCTCACAATCGTCCGCCCTACTTTGGATGCTGCGCCCCTCGTGCCTCGTGGTTACTCGTCCTCATCCCTCCTCACCCGTTGCCTTTTCCCGCCTGCTGAATGACTTGAATCTCTCTCCTTCCCTCGTTCATGTCGCCTCGTTGATTTCATCGCTCTTCTTCCATTTCGCCCGTTGTCTTTCAGCGATTATCGTCGCGCGACTGCATCATTGTTTTCTCGTCTGGCAATCCTTGTCTGCAACCTGGAGAGCCTAACTCGCCGCGTGCTCCTCCGGCCCCGAACGACCCACTTCCGACCGGCGTTCAAACGCTATCAAGGTCCCTCATTCACCACGGTCCATCGGCCTCCGTTTCGCCTGACCTACCTGTTCGCAAACTCTGTCAATCACGGTTGCGCCGCCTTGAAGTTTTCTGCATTTACTTGGACTGCTGCCTGTTGAGACGACCGACGTCCGATTACGAGTCAATTACCCGTCAACTAGAGCGACGCATCGGGTACATCGAGAGTTCCCTGCCAACATTTGCAAGTTGGTCTACCTTTCTGTTTTCCCCCTGGGCACCTGGCAAATGTGCCTCGTAGAGGGTTCGGACCAGTGTCCAACCTATAGGCTCTACTTTTCATCGAAGGAAATGGTAACTGTCTCTTCCGCGGATCTCGCATAGTTTGTATCTACAGTCTCGATGCGGCGGCCCAGCAGGTCATCAGAGCTGCGATGGCCCCACTGTCATGGAGCATATCAACATTTGACTAACACAAAGTCTCCTCACTAGAAGAAACATGGCCATGTATCACGGGCAACAAGCAGGCTCGGTAGGCAACTCTTAGATTCGCTTCTTGTATGCATCCATCCTCAGGCGCGATGCTGACTTTTTCAATTAGTCGCTGCCAACCCCTGATAACGCCAGTCGATCTCCATCGGATTCTATCGACCTCTCTCCCATCGAGGCCATGGCCAGGCCGATGGAAATGGATCAGTTCAACAAGCCCAGGCTGTCTTCGGACCCCATGGCTGCAAGCCGTGGCCTGAATACTCCCCCTGTGCCGTATGGCTTGATGAACTTCTATGCCGGTGATGATTCGCCATGGGTTGGATTCAATATGCCGGCGTCCGCATCCGCTCAACCTAGTCACCACATGAACCCTGTGGATGTTAGTAGGAATGCCCCCGCGTTTGCTAGTTGGAGAAGCAACGGACAGCCATCAGAGTGCGGCACCATTCCCCAGGCCTACCTGCCCTCCGACTCTGGTTACGAAAGTAGAGCGAAACACAGCATCGTCGATGATAGGTCCGTCTACGAGGAGAACACGGAAACCCAAAGCCTCGCCGGACATATGATGGAATTCAACCCTTTTCCACTCTCAACGTCCACGTTTCGCGACGCTCACGTCCCACCGTGGCCACCAGCACCGCCAGCACCAGTCCAGACCGGCCCTACGGACAAGTTGATATGCCCAGACTGTCAAGCTCTTTGTAAGACAAAGTCCGAGCTAAAGTGAGTTGCGATCCAGTTCTGGTCGTCGCCGTCGTTGTCGATGTTTGTCCTTTCATACACTGACACTCGGGACAGCAAACACAACCAACGGCATCGCAAGGCATTCAAGTGTGAGGTTCTTGGCTGCACTCGTAAGGAAGGTTTCGGTACTCCGAACGATCTCGATCGTCACAAGAGCAGTGTGCACCCGGAGCTTGATTCAGGTCCTCGTTGGCGCTGCAACATCAGTGCTCAATGCCAAGCAAAAGACAAGTTATGGCCTAGAGCTGACAATTTCCGGCAACATCTGAAGCGTGTTCACAATCAGCCTGTCTCAGCAGACGACGATCTCAACCAATATCTCTGGCAGTAAGTTCCCATTCGCCGCCATCCCATAACCCACGTGCGTTGCCGTACGCATCCATTTCAACGAGTCTTCTTCACAATCACGGAAATCTGTGGACGAGATAAATAGGCTGATCACGTTAGCAGCCCATCCCAAAAGCCCCAAGAAACGTCGCGCACCGTGCAAGAAGATCTTGAAGGCGTAGGATCGGAGCTGTTCAACTTCGGCAGTGTTTCTCAGGAATGGGAAATCTCCTCCCCGGAGCAGCCGATGGAAATGGATGATCTTCTCGTCGACCCATCCTTGACGAACATTGACGAGACCAGCAACATTCCACTTGTTCAGAACCACCATG